AAATAACACAAATAGGTTGGTAATTTCGAACAACACAAATCAAATCATTTTAAAATAAAAATGTGGAATTTTTTTTCTATTGTCTTAAACTTGGAGACAGTTTTGAAGAGTTGGATGTCTGCTCGCAAGCTCATTATTAATATTTTGTGATCCCACGTTTTTTTATCTTTTACAATAAGACGGGCCATAATCACAAGGGATCATAAAATTATTTATATAAATTCCGAATTTGGGATTGATAGTTTCTGAGTCAGAGTATTTCTTTCACAAAAAGTATTTGGTGTAGTGCAACCATAAGACTCAGTGGGTCCGAGTTGACTCGAGGTGGGTCCGAGTTGGCGTGGGTCCGAGTTGGTCTTGGATCCGAGTTGGCATTGGTCCGAGTTGACCTGATCCCGTACCACTTTAACCAAATGAATAAGCTTACATGTACTCTTACAAAGTCTAACGTAACAATCCGTCACAGTACCGACTCCTCTTTCAACATGTTCACAAACTTCCGTATGTTGTATAGTTCTCACGCGTAAAATCAAGAAGATCACGTGCCCGAACACACGTGATTTTCAACTATTGCTCAGTTGTCACATGGGAACCATTGTTCTGTTGATTGAAGCACAAGTGTCATACATGTACGTAGTCCTGGTATAGTGCATGTGCATACTTCTTGTCAGAGCTGTTGATGCACGTTGGTCGAACTTGGAGAGCTGATTGAAGATAACATACACTACCAAAAAAGTCATGCCAGCTTCGTAAGTACATGTATTAAACGCACGGGCTCATATGTACTTCTAGGCCCCTGTATTTATGGCATTTTCTGCTGATGGGGGCGTGTACTGCGGCACCACCCCGACCATGCTCGCAAATGCTGACTCCACTTTGTTGGTTGTGTACAAAGACTTTTAGCTTGGCGTACCGATGTTAGTTCCTCGTTGACATTCAATGTTGAACAAGTAAAGGACTGATAAAAGCCTTATTGTTGATGCTGCATGATGAGTGATTTTGCATAATGGTAGAAAGGCATTGTGGGAAGGAAAAAGGAGTATAAGGCTTATTCGAACGTTAAATACGTCACATGTGTTCACCCCTTCCACTTACTCGCATGTGCTAAAATTCAGCAAAGTCACATTCACTTCCTGGTGCTTGTTGAAATGGTAATGCAAGCCAGCAGACAACTGTACTAAAATCCATCTGCGGAGATCTTCCGCATTGTGTAAAATTTTGCTGAATTTATACCAGAGAAATATAATCAGGATTCAGATTTCATTTTGTGATGTGTTTCTTGTTAATCCTAAGTGACATTTGGCAGGAAATAGGATGAAACATGTCTGCGGACGTTACATTTCCGAACGTAAAAAAAGGTGTTTTAAAATCAAAATTTTGAATTGTTCTCCAGTTTCTCCACACATGCTGCATATTTTAATAATTGAAAGAGTGTTTGTAAAAGGTTACCATGTTATGTTTAAGCTATTGCGAATTGTCCTTTGTTAGTTTGATCAATTTCAATTTTGGCTGTCTGTCGACAGGTCAGCCATGATTTATGTGTGCACATGTACAGTGTACATGTACACGTACTCCATCAATGCATATATACATATACATGCACTACTACGGACAAATGATTCTCGTACAAAATATTCAATTTGCAATAACTGGAAAATACTACATGTACCGATGTTTTAATTGGGCCTTAATACACACAGCACTTTATTTCGTTTGTTTGGATAAACTGGAGAGATTGTTTTATAATGGGAAAGATCGTGGACGTATTTTCTTTGAAATCTAATCGTGTTTATTTTTTGTAAAAATCACTTTTTCAGAATTTGTTTCAAATTTGAATTTGTGCAACTGGGTTCATATTATACGGTGGTTAATGTTATATTATATCCATTATGTTATTATATCCATGAACTTCATTTGTTTGTATTTTGTTAAAAATAAATGATGGTCTCCATCTGCAGAAAGAAGTGTCAGAATGATGTCCGACATCGCCTGCCTCGAAATAAAGTGATCGAGTGCACATGCGCTAACTCTAAACTAAGTGGTGCAGAAGGGCATGGGAGTGAACATACGTGAAGTAACCGACATTCAGGATGCACATCCCTGAAAGGGATGCATGTCCTCATTTTTTCTTTGGCTAGGTTCCTGGCCATGATATTAGCACAGAAAATTCATAACAACTCCTGTAAAAATAATAATGATAGTCGTTAAAGTTCTGATAATAAAAAGGAGACGAACACAGCTTAAAGTTTAGAGTCAAGAACATTTTTACTTCCATTAATTATAATTCAAGTACACGTATACATGGATTGAAAGTGAGATTCACACAAAATCAGTTGCACAGAACAATTTTAAAAAAAACCTCTAAATACACCCAACTTGTTTTAAATTATTGAATATATATACATGTGCACACATGTACATGTAGGCCTATCGGTTTGGAAAAAAGTTTTTTTTTCCTGGACCATTGCCCATCATGCACTGCTTAGGACGTTTTGCTGTAGGTCGAGGTAATGATGCTTGCCAGACAATGAACTCTGATGGCAACCACAACATATAAGCTTAGCCTGCTTTACAATCAACTGAACACAAGTTTATCGGATAAATTTTTTATTTAAAATACTTCATTTTGCCACAGATGAATGGCACTTGAAACTCCTCCTTTTTGAGTAAATCTGAAATATCTATTTCGTGAAAATCTTGTGGGGTACCACTTTAGTACCCCACAAGGGTCAAAACTGGCCTTTTAGTGGGGTACCTTCCATTGTTTCAGTATCCCACAAGCCCCTCTATACATGCTCTGGTTTGGCTGTTACGTGAGGGCTGGCCTTTTGACCTTTATTCTGGAATCTTTCATCGCAAGTATGGAGCACCTAATGTGTCATGAACACTAAAGACCCCTCTAGCTATATTGTCCCGAGAACAACTTCCTTGTTAGGAGATTGGCATGAGGTGGTGCACAGTCAGCTGGTGCTTTTCCAACCTTGTAAGAACAGCCACACATTTCTTGACCCATGGGAATAGATGTACATTTTCATGTAGCTACAACTTGATCAGGTTGCGATATATATTTGTATACCTTCTATGTCCCTGTGCTTCTAAACGTTAGAGGAATTTACTTTCTCAAGGAGTGACTCAAACTTGGCCTTATTTTTGCAGGCCCGTTTACTCTCAGGGCGGTAACACGCTATCTGTCCATGTTAGTCTTCACGCTGACAATAGGGGACGTCTGCTGACGCGTCTACGAGCTAATCAGGATGTCCCTGCAGGTGCCATTGTGCTGTTGGAGGGAGGAAAGGACATCAACCAGTACTGTACAGATATAGAGCTGGTATTTCGTCAGGTAAACATCATCTGTACACTGTATTGGGTGTTTTGCCTGTCACATAATGTGGACATATATTTAAGTATTGTAACAGTATACGTACTTGTTTGCCAAAGGCTGTGGAAAAATTTCATTACTCCACTCAGGTTGGAATTGAACCCACATCCTCCTGGTTTTCCTGTTACTGGGATGGGTAGTGTGGGTTTTTGAATGGGGGGAGACTCGAATCGGTGAAATGGCTCCCACGGCAACTGTGATGTACTGACTCTTTATTCCGAAAAAGGAAGGCAGAAGATAGACTGCTGAAATGTGTTGTTTACTTTAAAGCACTGCCAAGAGTCGCACTTAAAAAGTTGGCAACCATCACTTAATAAAATAACACTGCCAGTCAACTTTATCAACAAACTTCACGCAATCTGCATCTCAAGTAAGTAGAATGTAATATTTTGGTTGCCACATACTCCTCTGGAAACAGTTCTAAGATCCTTGTGGCCACCACTCCTGTTACTATGGCATACATGTACCTTGGCATGGAACTTGCCTCCCAAGAAGAAACACTAAGAAGGGTGGTAATTACGTTATCCTTCCTTCACTGTGTGTATTTTTTTTCCCATTTACAAATTTATATGGGGATTGTGGTGACACCTGGTCTATAATCCCGTTATTATCCATTTTTGAACATAAATTTCCTTCCTCTGCACCCTCACACCATAAAATCCCACCATAAAATCCCACCCCCCCAAAAAAAACAGGAAAAGGTGGTGAGCTTTGACCCTACAGCAGTTCTATGTTTGCTTTCAGTAACTGCTCCAAAGGGTAACAAGGCACATGAAATAGCCTTTGGCTTTGCTATCTACTGGGGTAGAATTACCCAGGCACTGCCTTCTGGAAAGCCCACAAAGCTTCTAAGTGTGCAGACCACTAATTCAAGTGAGAATTTCTGGCCAGCTCATTAGCATTAAAAGTGCCCCCCACAGTATCTTTTGAAAAAGGAGATTGTTTGGCCCCCAAAATGATAAGATTGTGTAAATCTTTGCCGG